TAATACCTGTCTCAAGTGATTGGATCCTGGCAGCTGTCATAAATGACTTCAGGACCTCAGAAGGGCATTGTGTTCCACTACCAAGCTTTTGGTGTTTCTGGAAAAACAATTTATTTCATCCTTAAAATAAGGATAAAATCTGTAATTTTCCTAGATGAATGATGGACCCCCTATTTTGGGCCATGTCTCCTGAAAAACCAGTTTACTCTTGATCTTGAGTTTCACCTTCATCTTAAGACTTTCAAACCAGCCCCAGCCCCAGGCCTATGCAGTTTGACTTCATCTTGTCTGTGTTCCTTACGCCGAGCCAGCTGAGCAGGTGGACCTCAAGTTTACCGGAACAGGGACACACCTGGGCAGGTCCTGCAGATCTGATTCTAGGAGGCAACATGGAAGCCTGCGGCTGTTCCATGCTCTGCAAATATTTGGAAGGAAGTGACCAGGGGCCGCGTCCTAAGTAAGGGAGAACGCTCTCCACTCCATGACTTGGGGCCAGGCGGCACCTGAACCAGTGTCTGCAAGGACATCCGGAGCAGGGGGAGAAAAAGCCAACCACGGGACAAGGTAGTCAGTCCCATACTGGAGTTTGGCTCCCTATGAGAAGGCTTTGATCTCTCCAGCTGTTCCAGCACAGAGTACAAGATGTTTCCCAGGAGACTGGAGATGGGCAGGGACTCTCTCCTGGCCTCCTGACCCTTGGGGGTCCAGAGTCTGAGTTTGGACTCTGACACAGCCCCTGGGCTGCATGCTCAGGTGTCCTAATCTGAAAAGGGAGCACATTGAACTTGGAGACCCCCCAGGTTCCTTTCCATCTCCAGAGACCCCCGACTTTCCTGGGAACCAAGAGGAACTGGTCTGCTAACCAGTCTGTGGGATGCAACTGTGCCCTCTGAGCTAGGAGTCCCACAGCCGGGGCTTTGTCCAGTGGGACCCTGCCCCTCCCTGGGCACAGGGAGGACTAAGACGCCTGGCTTGTGTCTCCATTTGGTCAGACACAGCTCCTCCTCCACTGTCCTCAGCCGTCTGCAAATTGTTATTCATGAAATATTAGCTCTCACGGGAGTTTCAGGAGAGGACACCTTTCTTTTCTCTCCTTCAAATATACATAAACTTAAACATGCTTTAAAAAAATCCTTCTTTAGCTATCTCGGTTCAAAAGAGACTAAGAAACACGTGTGCCCTGCACTTTTTGGTGGATTAAAGAACAGCTTGACCCAATAAATGGAAATTCTGAAGGCACTTCCAGGCCCTAGAAAGAAGCCAGAAGCCAATTCGAGCACAAAATGAAAACACCATCTGGGTTTTGGTGACAATGAGTAACAACACTGGCTTTTCTGAGCTCAGACGATTATTGTATGGAAAAAGGTTTGTTTTCTTTTTTTAAAAAGCCTGCACAGTTAAAATGGTAAAAGATGTCTAACGATGACTAAAAAGACAAAAATAATCCCAGTAGTCATGCCTTGCACACCCTCAGACACGGGGCGTTCATCATGTCTGGAGACAGAAGCTCAGGAGAGAGATGCCGTTGAGGACACCTCAACCTGTGACAGTGACGTCATCTGTGTGTTCAGAGTTCACGGTCGCTCCATACGCCCAAGTAATTGAAGGGGAGGTCAGCGGTGGGGGTTGAGGAGAGATGGGGAGAATTCCATTAGCCAGTACTATGGCATTTTGTCAAAATATTTTAATTCAACTTAGCCCAGCATGCCCGGGGCGGGGGGGGTGCTTGTGTTTTGTACCCCATGGCCTCGTTTTCCCTGAGACTCTGTCCTGTCCTTAAACTGGCCAGAGGCCATTAACCTCCCCCACTTCTAGGATCTCTGGTTCCCCCAGTCCAGACCTAGACCAGCCTTGAAAGCACAAATAGTTCTCTCTTTGAAAATAAAAGCCACATTCCATGGCCGGGGGCCGAAGGAAAGGCTGCCGCACATGGTGAGTGAGCACGAAACAGGAGTGTTGAGAAGGACTTCGCAGAGCTGCTGGTCTGTGGCCCGCGAGCAAGGAGGAGGCACAGACACGTCTGCAGGTGTGCTCAGCATCGTAACTCAGCTCCCGTTAACTGAGCCTTTACATGGGCCGTGCCTATGTGGGAGCACATTCTCCCTTTCAGGAAATGCACACTGCAGGATTCTGGAGTCAGGCCTGCAGTGTATGTGGTGTGCTCTCACGTGATCAGATCCACATACAATTCCTGCAGAGAGGGAGCAAAGGCTCAAGCCAACAGGGCCAACTCGATGGTAAGTGGACTGGGCTTGGAGGGACGTGGGCTTTCTCCTACGCTTCCCTGTGCCTGCAGCTTTTTGGCAAGCTCCGAGTGACTTCCATCTAAAGGGGGTGGAGGGAGGGGAGTGGGGAGGCACTGAGCATAAAGGAAAAAGGACCCATGAACATGGACAACAGTGTGAGGATTGCTGGAGAGGAGAGGGTGTATATGGGGACTAAATGGTATTGGGGAAAATACAATAAAAATATAAAATGCTCCTTGTAAAAAGCAGCTAAAGGCAAAACTGTGGACACTGTGAAACCATCAGTGGTTGCTGGGGTTTGGAGCAGGGGGAGGGAGGGAGGAACAGGCAGCCACAGAGGATGTTTTGGGCAGTGAGGCTGCTCTGTAAGAGACAATGATGATGAGCACGTGTCATTCATTGTAGGAACCCACAGGAGGTACAACGTGAAAAGGGCCTGCCCACTCTCGGCACCCGGACTTGCGTCTCTGACGTAAGCTGTAGACTGTGGGGGGTAACGATGGGTCGATGCCGTTCAGTGACTGTAATGAAGGCACCACTCCAGTGGAGGATGCTGACAGCTGGGGAGGCTGTGTCTGGGGAGGGGCAGGAGGTACCCGGGGAGTTTCTGTACCTTCCCCTCAATGTTGCTGTAAACCCAAAACTCTTCTCAGAACGGTCTTTCCAATTTTAACATGCAGCAGCATCTGAGCCTGTGTGACACCAAGTGAACCCGAAGAGCCTATCTTTCCTGAAACCCTGAGTGGACAGCGGACCAGGACCTTGTTCTCGCCGTGACCTGCCCCAGCAGATCAGCTTCTCAGAGGCCCAGGTATCCCTGCCTGACTCCTCACCTCAGTGCCCTGACCCAGTATGGGGGCCCTTGGGGCGGGCCTCGTGGTTGGGAGGTGCTGTGATGGACAGGAACCAAAGAGCACCCATGTAGGTGGGAGCCGTGTGCAAGGAACCAGGGCCAAATGCCTCTGTGTAAATACTGGGAGAGACACCACTGGCAGCCCGTCCCCACATGCAGGGTGCTCTGGAGAAAACTGGTCGGAGGCCACAGCTGAGGTCTGGAGGCCTGACTGAGACTGCCCACTTCCCCCTCAGACCCTCACCTAGGATATGTTCAAGTTCATCTGCAGGGAGAAGGAGCTGACCAGACCTCAAGATAGCATCTCCTGCCTCATGCAGGACAGCCTGGCTCCACCTCCGAAGGAAAGATCCAGAATGTGGCAAGACCCTGTCTGAGCCAGTACAACAGGGCAAGCCCACACAACTTGAGCATCACCCAGAGCAGGCTCAAAGCTCTGGGCTAAACTTCAGGGCCTTGCACCCTGATTTCTCACAATGCCGGTGGCCCACAGCACAGGCAGTTCTCTGTGTGGGACTGGGGCTAGGGCAGCTGGGAAGAGTGTGGGCAAAGGCATGAGCCCACCAGGGAAGGTACTGGGGGCAAGGTACCCACTCACCCCACAGGAGCACAACCAATTCACTTGTTCCCCATTCTGAGGACTCAGCATTAAACCTGGGCTCCCAAGGCTTGCACTTGCCCAATTACTGTTTTATTTCAAGGTGTATAAATATCAAGCATTGGACAAAGTTTTGACTCTTCACTTCAAAACTACTCACCAAAACTCCAGACCGATGTCATCATTTACATTTCTTCTGCTAACAGAAGTATCCCAAAGAAAATAATTCTCCACAAAAATGCTTGCCAAAAATACTGTCTCCTAACATCCTCGTTTATGGAAAAATAAGGTGTCTGTACTAAAGCATCAGCAAAGAGCTGGAGGGATGAAGGAAGCCAGCGGCGAGGTTTTATTGCCTGTGACTTTTAAGGAGACTGGGTGGGTCATGCTCCAACCTAAACCCAGGAATAAAAAGGTTCCGGAGCAATCGTTCTGCCAGTCTGTCCTCTGGGCCTCATAGGAGAGCCCAGCAAGATTTCAGGAGACATCAGAACCGTGTGAAGTTGAGCTTTCCGACTTTGGAAGGGAAGCTTGTTTCCCCTTCTTTGTGTTCTTCTAAGACAGATTTACTGACATGAAATGTACATGTGGTAAAATTCATCCCTCTTGGTGTGCAGTTCCGGAAGTGTTGACAGTCATGTCACCAGCACCACAGGCAAGATATAGAGCACTTGCCCTGACCGGTGTGGCTCCGTGGATTGAGCACCAGCCTGTGAACCAAAGGGTCGCCGGTCTGATTCCCAATCAGGGCAGATGCCTGGGTTGCAGGCCTGGTCCCCATTGGGGGCGTGTGAGAAGCAACCATTGATGTTTCTCTCCCTCTCTTTCCTCCTTTCTCTAGAAATAAATAAATTAAATAATTTAAAAAAAGATATAGAGCATCCTACTATCCCCCAAAATCCGTTGTGTCCCTCTGCGACCAATCACCACCCCCCCAGTCTCAACACCGCTGACTTGAGTCCCTATAGTTTTGCCTCTCCCAGAATGTCATATAAACAGAGTCATACAGCATGTAGCTTTAGTGTCTGGCTTCTTTCAGTCCACATAATGCTTTTGATGTCACCTACACTCCTGTGTAATTGCTTATGGCTGAGTAGTGTGCCGTGGGACGGACAGGACACTCTGTCTTCATGCAAGCACAGGTTCATGGCCATTTGGGTTGTTTCCGGTTTGGATGACAAAGCCACTGGATGTTGCTTTTCTCTTGGAGAATGTCACTGTGCAATGACATTGCTGCTACACATAAACACGCAGACCCTGACTAATGCACTATATTTTATTATTTTTCATATAAAGTGGCAGCTGTTCTGTGATTCACATGACATTGGCTTTTTTTCCCCTTCACAGTGGTTTTGAATTTAATTGATGCCTGGGTCACCCATGGGTACCGTCCATCCTCACCTCTACATCCAAAGAACAATGTGAGACCACTGTCCTGCCCACCCCGGGTGGGGATGGAAGCGCGGAGGAGCCCACAGGTCCTGCCACAGGCCAGACACAAACAGAAACGCAAACCACCCGTGTCTCCATCCTGGGTATGGGGATGAGGACATGGGAGGCCACCCTGATTTGGAATGGAAAAATGGGAGACTTAGGGGAGAAAAAGGTCAGGGTGCACCTCAAGCCAGGGCTAAAGGCGGACCAGGGTTAGATGAAGAGTTGGGAGAGGCACATGGAAAAATAGCATCCCACCAGTTGACAGTGACCAGTAATTCCGAGGAGAGGATGGCAGGTCCATTTTCTCTTTCATGGATCTTAGGATGCAGCAAGTATTTGTTGAACAAACAAATGAATGATTAATTTCCATAAAATCAAAATGCAGGAAGTTCCTATGCACATACAGAGGGCTTTACTTTCTCCACTCTCCCAAATCTGTTAATGAAGCCTCGCCCAGCTGTGGCTGACACTCAGTGACCATTCTAACATCGCTTCAGTTGTCACTCAATCTTCATTTACAAAATACACTTTTTAAAAATCTGTAATTTCAAGTGCCTGAAATGAAAATACCTCCCCACAATTTTTAGAGGTTTCCATAAGAGACACTGCTGTGGGTTGAGTGTACTCCCCAAAAAGATATATTGGAGTTTGACTCCCTGATACCCACAACTGTGACCTTATTTGGAATTGGGGTCTTTACAGATGCCATCAAGTTCATATGAAGTCACACTAGAGTAGGGTGGTCTCTCATCTAATGTCTGACGTCCTTATATGGAGACACAGGGAGAAAGCCACGTGAATACAGGGGCAGAGATTGGAGTGATGCAGTCAGAAGCCGAGGACACCCAGCGGTGCTGACGGCCACTGGAGCTGGACAGGGTCGGAAGGAGTCTCACCAGGAGCCTTCAGAGCCAGGCTCTGACCCCTACTGACCCCGTGACTGTGGACCGCTGGCTTCCAGAACTGTGAGAAAATAAATAAAAGCCTCTTGTTTAAGCCCCCAGCCCGTGGCACTGTGGAAAGGAGTACAGGTAAATGGCAGAGAACAAGGACTGGTGCTGTACGGGAAGCTTACACTCGACAACACGGCGCCTTGCACACACGGCTGGTGTTCTCTGTACTGCTATAGCAAAGGACCGCAACCACATGCCTTAATGCCTTGGTTAGTTTAGACTGGTTGAAACAATTAATGGTTGGTATTATAGCATAATTGTCTCGGTAACCACTTAGAATTTTTTTGGCACCCGAGCCCAAAACAGGTCCCTCATTCTGCTGGCCAGTGAAGGGCAATGCAGGCAGTGAGGGCCCCCTTTCTTGCAGTACTGGGAGAGGATTTTACTTTCAATATGGAATTCTGATGCACTAACTTCAATCTCAGGAGAAAGAGCACAGGGCCTAATTTCAAATAGTTATTCCACTGCTGGTAGCAGTGGTAATACTGTCTTAACGAGTGCACTGTGATGTTGAAGCCACCACTCCAGCCCGCTGATTGCAGGGGAAAGCAGATCTGAAGGAAATCAGATTTCAGAAGGATGCCCAAACACTTTTTCCATCCTTCCTTCCCTATCACAGACTCCAAACATCTTCTTTTTGAAATGTACTTGTTCTTTTTTTAAGTCAAAAATTTTTGGGAATATTTCCATTGTTATTTCGAAAATTCTAGACTTCTGACAGCAACTGGTATGTCAGCTGAATTACATATGCAGACTTGGTCGAACCTCTGATGCCATTACTGTGGTTCTGGGCCACTGGTAAGCACCACCTGTCACTTTCCGAAGTGCGGGAACGTTGACAGTAATTGGTCAGCCTTAGGGGAGCAGGAAGCATCAAGGGAACAGGGTGTCTGTTTCTAGGCAGCAATTTCACAGATATCAGGGAACCAGATGGAACACCAAATCAACGGAGATCCACGGAGTCCCAGGGCGGGAGGGCAGGGGGCGGGGGCGTTCTCTGTAAGGAAGAATGCAGACTAAGTCATTTGACACAGTTTTCATGACAGTGCTTCGCAAGCAAGCTTCAAGTTTAGAGTGCTCTATCAAGTCTAGTTATAAAATCGCTATTTTAATATAAACTTTGGGGGAAATATTGGTGTTTAAATGTGTCAAATTTACAGTATAAAACATGCCAAATACCCACATGAACTTTGGAGGTGATTAAGTAGCAGGAAGTCCTGTTAAAATGAAATTCAAAGACATATTCGTCGCTTTTTTCAGTAGGGTGACTCATGACCTGGACCAGGATGACAAGGCTGACTCTTATTAAGAGAGAAGGGGTGAAGCTCTAAAGTCACCACATTTTTTTTTAAAAAAGGAAAGGAAAAAAAACAACACAAAAAACTGTCACGTCTCTGCTCTTTTTTAAAACAAGTTTCAGGATCGGATAAACCCAGTCAGCACTTTCTTTAAATCTAGTCAGCATTTTTAACCGTCCCTTCATGGTGCGCACAGAACCACGTGAGACCTGACGCCCGAACAGCACGAGCGTGCTCCAGCTGTTCTGAAGTGTCTCGATGAGAAACACCATCCTGGGGCTGGCTGACTCGCAGTGGAACGGCTGTTGGGAGTGGGCTGTCCGGGCCCAGGCCCTGTGCTGTGAGTTCATCACTTTCTCCTACAACCTGGTGTGTCAGTGTAGAAATCCAGAATGATAGCGGCAGTCCCTCCTGGCTGTCCCCAAACCAGCACGGCCTATGTCAGGGACATAGCTGGATCCCCTGATGCGTGGCCATTGTACCGACAGATTCCAGAGTTCCCTTCACGGCACTGAGAGCACGGGGTCACAGAACCTCCTCCCCTCGCAGCTCACAGTCCTGAGCACATGAGCCTTGTAGCTTTCACCACTGGGACTGATGGCTCAGGTCTGTTTCCCTGGAAAGAAGGGCAGTCTCTTGGGGGAGCACTCATCTGTCAGTCCCAAAGCCTGGGCCATGCCACGCACGTAAATCTAATGCTGAATGGCCAAGAGACAGACGCGGACAGTATCCCCTCACACACCTCACTTTTTCTGAATCCCCACCCAAGGACATTTTTATTTTTCATTGTTTTGGGGAGAGAGGAAGGGAGAAACATTGATGTGAGAGAGAAACATCAATTGGTTGCCTCCCACATGCACCCGGACCGGGGATTGAGCCCGCAACCTTTCAGTTAAGGGACGGCACTCCAACAAACTGAGCCACATCAGCCAGGGCACACCTCACCTTCATGGAGTAGGTAGCCGTCCTCCGGCTCAGTCAGCGAACGGGCTGTGGAGTATGAATCCCTGCTTCTGGCTTATCCCCACCTGCACACGCCTCCTCCTTTCCCGGATTCCCCCCTCCCCACTAGGAGAAAAGAAGACAAAAGACTGACCAGTCAGCAAATTTCTACCCAGTACTTCAGAAATCCTTTCAGAGCAGCTATTTGAAAGGTCAAGGACTTTGCAGTCAGACCTGGTTCCAGTCCCCGTTCTCCACCTCCTCGCCTTAATGAGCCTCGGTTTCTGGTTCATACCGTGGGACTCACTATTCCTGAAAAGCATGGTGGCGTGTGGGTTGAATCACAGTCGAGGGCAGACACTTGTTCCTCAGTCGCTGTCGATCTTCACTCCATTTCTTGGCCTTGGGAAGGTGGGTCTACCTTTACACAAGGAATCCCTCAGTGCAGATTTTAAAGGATATGTAAAAAATTGTATTCCTCACCTCCTTTCATGATAGCAACTGACCGATTACTACCTAAGAAATCCCATGTGAGTCCATTTTCTTACTGTCCAGTCTGTGATCCAACACCCAGTTACTACTGCTATCACACGTACACATAGGCACACACAGTCTTGCTCAGGGCAAAAGGGCTGCTAGACACTGGCACGGAGCGGTTGGTGCAATCTGGTTAATGCCAGTGGCGACTGTCGCCCGAACTGGAGGACTCGCAGGTGTCTTTGGTCTTAGAGGACCAGGGTGGTGAGGAAACTGGACGAGGTGACCAGGCCCTTCTAAGAAAGGGAACCGCACAGCAGAGCATTGCTTCTGGGTGGGGAGGCACTTCACCTTGGAACCCACCTTTTTTGACACTGAGGTTTAAAGAGGGCTTCTCAATTGTGAGAACACTGGGCCTGGCCCCATTCTAGACAGGACGACCAGTGAGCCACGCCCCCTCCAGTTCTGGGCCCAAGTGCTTCATCTGGTGTTCACCATGAAGGTGACGTCATAACCCATTTGTACAGCCATCTAAACTAACATTTCACCACTTCCCAGTCCCGTTCCCTCCCCTTCTTTTGTATCATATGCTTTTCAAAGACCCCCCTCCCCCCTGCCCACTGCTAAGGCCTGCCCAGGAAACCTGTCTCACCTGCAGTAGTTTGAATACCCGCCTCCAAAGATGTCAGGTCCTAACCCCTGGATCCTGTGTCATGACCTTAATCACGTCTTTGCAGATGTGATTAAGTTAAAGATTTTGAGATGGAGAGATTATCTTTGTGTTTTTTTTTGGGGGGGGGGGGAGATAGCTAAATGCCAGCCCAAATGCCCTTATAAGAAAGAGACAGAGGGAAGAGTTAACACTCAGAGAGAAGGCAATGTGATCACAGAGACTGGAGGGATGTGGCCACAAGCTAAGGAATGGCAGCAGCCACCAGAATCTGGAAGAGGCAGGGAGGGCTTGTGCCTTAGAGTCTCCAGAAGGAACAGGGTCCTGCCAGCACCTTGGTTTCAGCCCAGTGACACCGATGCTGGACTTCTGGCCTCCGGACCTATAAAAGAAAAAAGTTCTGCTGTTTTACTCCACCACAATTGTGGTCATTTGTGACACCACCAATAAATAAACTAATATATCATCCTCTACTGCAACCTAATTTTTTAAAGGGGCAACCTTCCAACTGACAAGCTGGACAAATTTGGACATCTCAGTACATCTTCAAAGGAAACAGATGGTTAACAAAACTGCAGCTGATTAAAATTTTCTGTTTCCAAAAATGGAGAGGCTTAGGCTTGTAAACCCATATAAATCTCCCTCCCCCAGTTTATGGAAGGGCTGTGTTTGTTTGGTTCAGGAAATGCAAACAAACTAGGTTTCATAGTATTACCAATGCCACCAAATCAGAACCCCAGTTCGGAGGGGAAACTGGCCATCAAGAACAGCCCTAGCAACGGGCCCAAGTCTCTGAGAATATGCAGGTTACTAGACAGGGTCTCTGCACTAAAGAGCCTGCAAGCTAGTGCGGAGGCTGGCTAGCAAGCAGCCAGCCATGGATGAATGGTAGAACGACAGAAGCACAGAGGCAGGAAGCCTTGGGCTGGCGCTGGGAGGAGCCATCTGATCTGCCAGAAGACTGAGTAGGCCAAGGGCATCCTAGTTGGTGCCTGTCCTTGCCATGCATGGCTGACATTGGTGAAGGGGAGGAGCAGAGAGAAGCCATCTCCACCGCTCAACAGAAGCTATCCCAGCAGACACGAGATTTGCATCCAGAAAGATAATTTCACTGAAGGCAGAATGACTGAAAAAGGGAAGGAGCAAAACCAAAGTAGGAACTTGGTTGAGGAGCTACAGTGATTAGCCAGAGACTAGGAGCAGGTGAGGATAGATTTAAGGGCCATATAAAAAATAGATTGCTAGAACTTAGTGAAAGCTGGATGCAGTCTTTGAAAGAGGTCTTCAAAATAACCATAAAGCTTCTGGCTTGGGTAATGGGGCAGACAGCAGCCCCATCAGTAAGACAGAGACTGGGAAGGAAGAACAGGTAAAGAAAGGGAAGATAGCAGACAGGAAGTGCAGTTGTGAGTTGGCTGAGCGAGCAGTGTGGGTTACCCAGATGGGGCTGTCCAACAAGGCTATATAAATGTTGTGCACTGTGCACAAATAAAAATATACACATGGTGCTAGCAAATCTCTGGGATGCATCCAGTATGGATAATACTCCATAAAAATATGTAGCGCTCCTACCAGAGGCCAGGCAGCATGCTGGGTTGTGGGCTAGCCGAGGAGGATGAGAGGGTCCTGGCAGGCTGAGAGAACAAAACAGTGATTTTGATTTTCTACCTCGTCTTTCTCTAGAATGACAACCCTACTCACATCCAGAGTCTGCACATTAGATAAAGCCCTGAACTTAAGATTCCCACCCCAAGTTCCCATTCTTATTTTCTTGGGGCTCCTTTTAAATTAAAACACCACTTAGAATTGAGCCCATGAAAAGTCAGTGACCTCCACCCCTACCACCTTATAAGTAATAGGTATTTCCACCCTGCTATCTCCACAGGGCAACAGAGAGCTGTCAAAAACTTAAACTAGGGAATGGCATACGTTTTACTTTTTTTTTTTTAAATTACTGACAGCAGTATGAGGGTGGATTAAAAGGGAAAGACCTGGAGATGGGGTGGGGCAGGGGAAGTTAATAGTCTCAAAGTTGTTGGGGTGGAAAGTGGGTACATTATCCGAGAAATACTCAGGAGGCTGATGGACAGAACCCGGTGACAGGTGAACACTGGAGAAAATGAGGGGCAGAGATGGTGCCTGAGGTCCCTAGCTCAGGCAGCTGGGCTAATGTCCCAGGGATGACTGAAACTGTATCATGTAATGAGAGGGCCAAGCCAGAACCTCAGGGAACCCACAGTGTGAGGCCAGACACAGGCAGAGAAGCCAACACAGGAACCCAAGAACCAGAGTCAGGTCAGAGGGAGAAAATCCAGGGGAATGAAGCATCACTATGCTAGCAGATTTGAAAAAGGAATTGGTACAGAGTCACAAATCAAAGAGGCCAACTGAAAGTGAAAGGTTTCTGCTGAATTTAGCAGTCAAGTCCCTTTTGAGCGGAAATGGTAAGGGCAAAAACCTGATCACATGGCTTAAAGTAGAGACACCCATGAGTGTCTTCCTGAGGTAGCCAGAAAGCAATGCAGGTCATCTGGCTCTTGCTCCATAGCTCGGGTATCCACCTTCTCAACTGTAACATGGGGACAATCACGTGCCCTCGCCTGGTCTAAACACAGGCAACCCCCAAACCCAAGGTCCTCCAAAGATAGTTACTGCTGCATTCTGCCTCCTTTTTTAAGTCAAAGCCACGTTTTTCTATACCGCCTTTCATTTCAAAATAGACACTTTTGAAAGGGGGGGGGATTTGGGTGCAAGTTTCATCCTTTGAGACAAGAATAGTCTTAAAATTGGTGAAACTATAACAACTGATAATACAGCTAGTAATTTTGAAACAAGTTGCTGTATAACCTTATGTATCAGCTCCTACACATACTTCATAAATTACTTTTTCCAGGGTCATGTGCATAAATTCAACTTTAAAAATGTAAACAACTTATTTGAAAATTAAAACATTTGATATTAGGCAACATGATGTACTGTTTAGCTTATCTGACAGAATCTTCCCTTCGTGTTTGCAGTTTGGCATTTTGTTATACTCATTTTCTGGCTTTGATTGAAAGAGAGTGAGTTTTCTGATTAATAGACTTGTAATATTCATGCAGAAAAACTAAGAGACATCAAACTAGAATTGATGTATATGAGAGAAAGTTAACTGCCGCTTGGCCACGCAGCACTTTAGCTGGGTACCTACTAAAAGGGCAGGTTTTGTCCCTGAACATTTAATTGACAAGCATTTGCTGTAAGGTTGAACAGAGGAGTGACCCTACTCCGTTCACGCAGAGTGAACCGGGAGGCCCTGTTTACTCCAATTCACTATCAAGCGGTCCTTCGTGATCAGGTCTTTTCAGTGAGAGAAAATGTTAGCGCTCAAGGTCAGCAAATACGTCGCCGGAGCACCTTCCACGAGCGCTGTGAGGCTTCCATGTTTCTGAGCGACCCAATGGAGAGCTACCACGAGCCAAGCCCACGACCGTCGGAGACGCCACTCCCCGCTCGGCATACTTGGGTCGCGAGCTCGGCTCCTGCCGACGCGCTTCCGCTCGAGAAACCGAACTCCGCGGGTCGTGCGGCGGACCTCCCGCTTGCGCGGGGTCGGGGGCGGGGCGAACGACCGCTGCGAGCCCGCTCGGTGCGCGCATCTCCCGCCGCCGCCTCCCCTCAAGGCCGCCCGAGGTCTGCCTCACGAAGCGAAGTCAGGCAGGCGGCGGAAGACAGACGCGGGTGCAATCCCCGCAGAAACCTGGCACCGGAGGACGCAGACTGCGGCGCCGGCGCTGTTCCCGTCCGACCCGCCCTCGCCCCGCCCCCAGCGCCGCGCACCTCCCTCGCTCCGCCCCCGGAGCCCGGTGGCCAATCACAGCACCGCGCACGTGACGAGCGCTGCCTGCGATGACCTCATCCCTGGTGTGGGATGACGTCAAATTCAAGATGGATGGAATCACAGCGGCAGCGGCGGCTGCGGCGCGCGCGAGCCGAGTGTGAGCGGAAAGGGACCTGGCGTATGCCTCCGGGCTGAAGACCGGTGAGTAATTGTCACGGCCCTCGCTCTAGGAGAACTGCGGGGCTCTGTGGGAGGCCCAAGCCTCCCCGCAAAACGCGGCCTTTCCTGACGTAACTCTGAGGTGATTTCTCTCGTCTTTTTTCTACCAGTGGGTTGCGGGTTCCGAGTGCTTCTGCGCGTGCGCCGGCTACCGTCTCTCACCGAGCATGCCCCGGGCTCCCACGTAGCCCATTGTGCCTTCACATTGCGCATGCTCTTTTCCCGCACTTGGCCTCGCCCTCGCCAGTGCGCACGCTCCGTCCCTCACTGGGCTTCCCTCCTTCGGCCAGGTGGCCCAGGGGGCGGGCGCGCCCGGCCGCGGCGCGAGTTGTGGCGCCGAACGGTTGGGACGCCTTCCGGTCAAGGGCGCGTGCTCCCGGCCCGCGCAGTCGTGGATGGGGGTCACCGGCCGGTGTCCGCCAAGGGGCACACGAGCGTGCGCGGAACCTGGCGGGTCAGCGGGACGCCGCACCTGCCGCGGCCGGCGTCCCTTCCCGTCGTCCCCTCGGGCCCCTCCTGGCGGCTGCCGGGATAACCGGCCAATAACCCGAGTTAACCCCGCTGTCCGAGCTCTGCCTCCTGGCCGGCCCTCCGCGGAACGCCTGGACCCCGGAGCGCACTGTTTTCTCCGGGCCGTTTGGAAGACCTGTTTCTCGGACTCTCTCCACTGCCCGCCGCGGAGCACAGCCCCCTCCGCTGGCCACAAGCGTTTCTGCTCGGCCTTAATGGTTTCCCACTTGAGAAAGCCCCGGTCCCAACTCTGCGGCCGGAGGCGGTGGGGAAGGGGGATTTCAGACTGGCGGCGCCGGAGACCCCAGTCCAGAGACTTCCGCCGGTCTGAGTCTCTGTGATCTTGTGATGGGTTCTCTCCTTGCTCACACCACTTACCGGAACAAGTTCAGTAGCTCACTAGAAGAGATCATACCTTGGACCGCAAGGGAGCCCCCCTTTCCTAGCTCTTAACCCCTGTTACTACGCCCTCCAGCCACAGGGCTGCGTGGTTCAAGAGAGTTACTACTGCAGCAGCGTCTTTGGAGGTGGGGTGTTTTTATCCTGCAGCGGGATTGCCCTACAGTGGGACACGGGGGAAACGTTCATCCCACTCCGCACAGAGTAGCAGCCTGGGGTTTTTGGTGCAAGGGCCAACAGCTCTGTCGCATCCAGCATCTGAAGCCATAGTGTGTTACAGTATAGTCCAGCGATCGTTCATAACGAAGGCCCTGAGTCATCAGTAAGGAGCCTGCATTGTGTTCTGTGTACCTTGTTTAAAACAAGAAAATAGGTTAATCCATTTTACAAAGATTTCTTGTTGACAATTATTTTTAAAACTTTTCCCCCCGGTGCTTGGAGTAAATTCCTTGTTCATCCTTAATGACTAACAGTCATTGCATTTAAATTTAAGTATCCCTAAGTATTGCTGTTCAAAGGAAAGGAGAAATTTGGGGCATTGGTTTACCTGGAAAGGTTATAACCCTTGCCCTCGAGGAATTTATAGTGTTTAAGGCAGGGGGTATTAGGTGTGTAACACAAAGGCCACATTACTGAGGGAGTCTCTGGGTGAAGAGGCCATTGAAGGGACCATTTTAAATGTTCCCAAAGCTAATGGGGATGGAAGAGCAAATTCTTGAGCTGTTCTTGAGCAAGGTCTGACAGGTGGTAGTGACAGGCCAGAAGGAAAAAGAAGAGTTTGGTAGCACACCAAACTGAATAGGGAACGTGTGAGGACAAGCAGATATGGGGGTGTGGGTCATACCTACCATCCTGGTCGTGTGGTATATCCTGTGATGGAAGTCTTCCTTGGGCACCTGAGAGGCTGGATGGAGTTCCAAGGAGAAGTCCAAGCAGAGACACAGATTTCAAAGTGATTATCCAATGGTAAACTAAAGCCACAAGAACTTACAAAGCAAAGAAAGCTGCCACGTGCTGAGCTCTAGCAGATGCTGGAGCAATATAAGGTGAGCAAGTCCAGGACTCAAGCCTTTAGTGTGATGATTTCTCCCTGCCCAGTAGATAACCTGCCAGGCCTTGTGCTGAGCATTAGGGATACACAGGTGGAAACAAGGGTTCTCCCTTTTAGGGACTCTCACGAAGGAGATGTGAAAGCCTATAGCTCAAAAATAGTTATGTTATTGCAAAGAGATGAAAGATGGTAGTGCAGATGACTGAACTGCTTGCTAGGTACAAACTATTAAATTTTATAGGAACAGTGACATTTGAGCTGGACCTTTCTGTAGAAGGTGACCAAATAAAGTAAGACAAACATTTTTACATGGTAGAAATCAGGTGTGCAAGTTTGTAAAGTGGGTAAGGTGTGTCCAACAAGGGTGGAGAGAGGAACTGTGACCAGAGTATGAAGAGTCTTATATGGCATTTTGGCATTTGGGTTTTATCTGAGAAGTAGTAGGAAATATTATCTGTATAATATATTATCTATATAATATATACAAATATTATATTATCTGTATAATATTCGAAAGCAGAGCAGTGCTGGGCCCAGCTTTATGTTAGGAAACAAAGGCATGATTTCCACTACTGCATTGAATTAGGGTGTCCGAAAAATCAATATTTATTGTTGTGCAAGATAATATGTTGAGCATTGTGAAGAGTGTCAAAAGATATTAAATAGATTCTCAGTCCTACACAGCTTAAAGTTGAGACACAGATGACTAACAGTATGAGGCAATGAATAAACGTTATGTAAATGGTGCCATTCTGTAATGCAGGAATTGAAAGGTGCATGCTTGTTATAAACTAAAGTAGTCAAGGAGGGTGTATTAGTTTTCTTAGGCTGCCATAACAAAGTACCACAGACTGGGTGGTGTAAACAACAGAAATTTATTTTCTCACAGTTTTGGGGCCTAAAAGTCCAAAATTAAGGTATCTGCAGCATTGATTTTTCCTGCGGCTTCTTGGCATGTAGATGGCCGGCTTTTCTCTGTCTTCACATGGCAGGCCTCTGTGTTTGTGTCTCCTTATAAGTGTACCAGCCAAATTGGAGTTGGTCCCAAAGACCTCATTTTAAATTAATTAGCCCTTTAAAGACATTCTGAAGTACCATGGGGTTAGAACTTCAGCATATGAATGTGTGGGGAAGGGGGGACACCATCTAGCTGGTGACGGAAGGCTTAATTGGAACTTGAGCAGAGCTTTGAAATATGACTAATGTCAAGGTGAGTGGCATGCTGGGGAGGGGTTAGATGAGATGTAGAGCATTATAGATTAGGTGACAGAAGGAGCAAGATGTGTGTGTTGTGTCTCAGAGACCAAGTGTCTTCAGGATAACTAAGGGGAAGAAATTCTAAAAAATAGTTGGAAACCAAATTCACAGAGCCTTGGACTACAGGTCTTTAAAAGTTTGCATTTCAACCTAATGGAGAACCATTGTTTTAGGTATTTTTTGTTTTTAGAGCCAAGGCTGGCTGTTTTCACTTAGATCTTACGTCTCAGCTAAAATGTCACTTCAAGGCATTTCCTGACCATACTCTCCAAACCCCTACTTACTCCACTTAGTCATCACACCCTGTTTATTTCCATAACACTGAGGACAATCGGTATCATGTTTTTTATTTCCTTGTTTATCATCTGATTTACTTCACTAAAACATGGGGCCTTGTCTCTTGTGCGCCCCTGTATTTCAGGTATATCTTACCATGCCTTGCATATGTAGCAGGAGCTCAAATAAATTGCATTAGTCATAGTAATACTTAATGTGTGCACCTGGAGAATGATTAAAGCTTTGTTTTAGAAAGCTCAGTGGAGCAGCAGTTTATTAAGGATGGATCTGGAAGGTATGACAGAAAAATGAATACCACTTAGAAATATGTTGGAGACATTTCATAACAAGCACAGAAATTGACTGGTTAGGCTGAATGATAGAAAAAGGAATTTGTTATAAAGGTACAGTGTTGCTCATGAGGTTTAAGGAAAAGCTAAAGAATTGGACTGGGAAGGACAAAAACCATGGTAACTGCAGGAATCTGTGCAGTCAGGCACTGGCAGGCTGCGCTTCCAGGCTGCTGCTGAGATAAATCAGCTCCACTCATTTACTGCCTTTGTCACCTCTGTCAGGCCCATGTTCGAGAGAGGAAGTTTCCGATCGACTTGACTTCGGTTGTGTGCCTACCCCTGCACAAGGGACAGCAGGCCTCAGACTGTCCCTGGGAGTGCATGCGGTTCTTCCAAAGCCAAACCAAGGGGCCTCCCACAGCAGGAGGAGTGGTGGCTGGAGGCAGCCAGGCCCAGAGAGGCTCTACTGGACCTGGACTGAGTTACAGTGGAGCTGTTCAGCTGGGGGTGCAGAGAACACGCCTTCAACCAAAATCAGACCTTCTCTAGAGACTGAAAATGTGGGGAACTGGAATCCAAGGGAGTGAGTGACATTACTCTCTTGAAGGATCAGATAAGCAAGGCTGGCTTTGAAATGTGAGGAGCTTCAGAAGTTTCTGGATATCTCCATTGTCCCAGAGTGAGTGAGATAAGAACTAAACTCAGAGCCAGCTCCCTGTCACCATCTAATAGTAAAATCAAGTGGAGAGAATCTGGGCTAAATCCAGAGGTGAGGTTTGGGGGCAAAACCTCACATGGGTGTGTGTGTATGTGTGCATGTGCTTGCGCATGTTTATAGTTAGTTGTACGTGCATGGTTTCTCTGACTGTGCTTCCCTTTTGTGACACGCATCCCTTCTTTTTTACCACTGCCATTTTAAGACTGTATAAACAGCCCCCAGCTTCCCAAATTATCCCATGCCCAGAGTTCAATTTTAGGTTGATGTTTCACATGCAGAGAGACATTTTCATATAGAACTGGTGGGAGGGGTTTGTGTGGTAGTCTTGGAGCCAGTTTGATTTATAATGTACCTTAGCTCCAGTGCCGCCTGAGTTTTAGTCTCCAAAACTTGAAGGGTAGTGAGGAGATTATTCCGGTTCCTTCCCATCTTCCTTTCTGAGCCCCTTTCTCGTTTTCATGTGTCTTTTTACCCAAGTGCTTTTCTATTTCCTGTTTCTATCCCCAGAATGTTGTGAACATCAAAATTGCCTTCCTTCCACCTGCCCCCCTAAAAATCTTAACTTCTTGCAACTGATCTAAATTTGGTATAAAGAGAAAATCATTAGCATTGAATTAAATTATATTAAAATATGAATTCCCTGCTCCTCTTAGCATTTAGTGTCTGAGGAGTTTGAGGTGATGGTATGAATTAATTTTCTGGGATCTAGTTGTGAAGGGCTTTGTAGTCATTCTAGGGATCTGGCAGCCCAGGCCGTGGCTAGCCTTCTGGGAGTTTTGAAGCCCTGGTAGGCTCGGATGAGTGTTTCTGGAAAGTATCTGTAGTGGAAAGTGAAGAGTGGAACCTAGAGTGTTACTGTAGTCAAGTGAGCTGTAAGTCCGGAACTTTCCTGATGTCCTCGCTGTTCGCTCATCCATCCTTCCACTCCTGGCCCCATCACTTGCTTCCTGGAATCAGTATCACCACACGTTTTCCATGCCCTTCAGCACGTGGTCTGTCCTACTGCAGGGACGTGTGTTACTGGAGAACCCGCAACCAGCCAGCGCACTCATCTGCCATCACAGTGCCTCCTGTGACACATGGCCTCTCACAGGCCCACGTAACCAACCAGGAAAGGAAGAGAATAAAATGCACACTGGCTATGCCAGAAATACTGTGTGTGGTAGGGACTTCAGACATGCTGCTTCTCTTGTTCATCATGAGAGTCCTTCGTGAATGGGCAGTGTCGGCCCTGCTCATCAGGTTAAGGAAACCACTGGTACTCAGGAAGGTCAGGTGACCTTTACAAGGTTACACATCTAATAGGGTGACAAAGCCAAGAGTTTTGAGGCAAGTGCACTGATTTGAAAGTCCCATGCAACTGTGACTTCCGTGAATTGTTAATCACAAAGATTCTCTTATTTTGAAATTTCAGGAGACAACATGAGATAGAAACAATTCAGGAAGAGTTTGGGAAGATATTTGTGTGCGGGGATCCAAGTGGTAAGCAAGTCACAGCCCTGTTTCAGAATCTGGTTTTCCTGGGGGATTTCCAGCTTTTTCTGCCGCTCACAAAGGGCCTTTTCTTCACAATTCACCCACTTTTCTTTTAAGAGTGCTCAGGGTTTTCCACCATGACTAAAAGTGGTAGCAGGAACTCCTGCACTGATGAGTCAGGTAGAGATGATTGAAGGAAAAGGTACAGGACTTGGATGCAGGTGGCAAGGTGTGCACACGAGAGCTTGTACACTTATGGTGCACTGTCTTCTGTAAGTCAGAGGCTGACTATTCATAATTAAAACATACATAAGAAATTGGACTTTGATGAGCCAGCAGCATTATGATGGAGAAAGTATACCCAGTAGAAAAGCTGGCCTCATCTGGGAGCCAAAGAGCAGAAGAGGCAACAGATTTTGAGAAACCAGATTGCATGCACATCCACCAGCCACAAAGAGTTTTGCTGGATTATCTCATGGCATTTAGCAGTTGTGGTTTTTCCCCCTTTTTGCATGCATTCTTAATGTGGCATTTTGTGTTTTTAGTTCTGAAACTCCATAAATATACCTACTGTCACTAATATACAGAAGTTCATAATGTTATCTGTCTGCAGCTCCACCAGGAAAGGGGCTGTTGTTTTTAAGTTTTAGTAATGGAATTGAAAGATAAAAGCAAGAACCTCAGCCTGAAGATGAGGGGCCTGCACTGCCCTGTGCTCTCCATCTTGTTGCTCCAGATATCTAGAGCCATTGTCCTGGGACACTGGAGAGGCAGAAGAGGTCCTGGGCCTCTAGTAGCCCTTGAGTGTAGCCCCAGGGCCCTCAGGCCTCTGTCCCCGCTCCAGCCTCCTTGTCTGCCTTCCCCTACATGTATCCTTTGCTCGCTCCAGCCCAATCCTCTGTCTTATCTGTGATTTGGGGCATACTGTTCCTAACTTTGAAATGCCCTTCACTCTTCCTGACTCTTCCCGCATCCTTAACTCCTGTATGTTCATGAGGCCTTATCTTGAATGCCTTCCCTGGCCTCCCTCTCACCTGGATCAGTGCCCATCACCTGTACTCCTCTGTATTTTGTACACACCGTCTGTCTGGTGGTTAACATACTGGAGCATGATGATGGATTCTCCTGTTCCCATGCAAGACTTCAAGCACCGTGAGGCAGGATCGTGCTTGTCAGATTGATATCCTCCACATTTAGCAGGTTCTGGCGCATACTAGACAGGTGCCCAACTATGAGAAGCCTGTAACTTGATGACTAACAATCCAGACTCTGGGACCAGACTCCAGCCCTGCTGCTAACTGACTGGGTGACCTCGGGCACATCACTCTGCTCCTCAGTGCTTCCGTTTCTTAATTTGTAGAACAGGGATGATGACGGCACCTAGCTCCCGTGTTTATATGAGCATTAAAAGAGGAAACCAGAGGCGGTGGTGTAGGGGTTAAGAGCACGGTCTCTGAAGCTAGTCACTCTGTGTGAGTCCTGCTCTGCTGCTGGGTCTAGGTGACCTTGAGCACATTTACTTCTCTGTGTTTTGTTTTCTCATCTGTAAAATGGGGGTAGTAATAGGACCTGCAGCCTAGTGTTGCTGTTAAATGTTGAATTAATGAATGAAAGTGTTTACAGTAGTGTGGCAGTAAATGTTCAATTAGTGTTTGAGTGACTAGATTGGAAACAGTCTCTCACTTCAGAATCTCTCAATTCTCTCACTGTATGGCTTTCTCTTTAAAGTTCTTTTCAGCTTTCCCTTACAGTATTTGTTTATCAGGCATGTTATGAATTTGGACGTGTTTAGCCACTTCTCAGCGAAGCAGTTTCATTGATACTCTAAATGGAGTATCAAATAAATAGTTTTAATCCCTAAATAATTTTCAGGGACTGATTATTTCTCTTACAGTTCAATTGTGAGTGACTTAAAGTTCTCTAATTCTCATATGTTTTTGTTCAAAGATTATAGGTACCTGTGGTTTAAGGGATTGAAAGTAGCCTACTTAGAGGAAAAGCAGGGATGATAATTTAAAGAAAGCAAAGGAAGGATACTTTCTGAAAAAAGAAATGTTGACTTTTAGCACCTAGGAATAGGGTGCAGATGCTTTGTGCAATACCATTTGCTTCATGTTCAAGGACAGACATTACATTCTTGGTTTAGTCTTCACACAGTTCCGCTGCCTATACTTACAGTTTCAAATTCCCTAGGTGTCTTATTTTGGGTTTCCCAGAAGCAGACCCTGAGACAAGGGTGGAGTTAATCTAGACCCTTTTTTTGATACTGAATTAAATGCCTATTAAGCCTACAAATTAATTGCACAACACTTGGCAAGTCGACGCTACCTCACCTAACCTGTGAAACAGCCTTGAAGGAGGAGGGCACAGTTCCCGCCATTTGAAGCGAGGGGACCTGATAATCGGGGAGGCTGATCGTCAACGAGGGAGGAGAAGCATTTCAGCCCCCGTATCTGGGGCAGAGCCTGCACCCTGCCACTAGGCTGTGTCTTGCCTTTAGATTTGAAAAGACTTCCGGTGGCATCCCAACTCAGACTCCTTCATGTAGAATTAGCAGTTCTAGTTTAGACCCAAGCAAGAGTTTCCCTTTGTGCTTTTGTTGAATATGTGATTTGGTAAGAATAAAATATTCAGAAGATTGCAAGGTGTTCAGCATAAAAAAGAAAAACTCTTTAATACTTCTAACCTTTGTAATATAGTAATTAGGATGCAGTAGTATTTAGCAAATGGTTTTCACTTTCAAAATTCATACCTATTTTTAGTTTTTATTTTTATTATTTTTTAAATTCTTGATATGGTTTTTATTGATTTTAGAGTGGGGAGGAGAGAGAAACATCGATGTGAAAGAGAAACTTCGACAGGTTGCCTCCACCACATGCCCTTTCAGGGAATCTTTTGGTGTATGGGATGATATTCTAACCAGATGAGCCACCTGGCCAGGGCCCAAATTTGTACCTTTTAAAAAAATTTTTAGGCCTAGCTGGTGTGGCTCAGTGGATTGAGTGCATGATGGATTAGCCTGCAAACCAAAGAGTCGCATTTTGGATTCCCAATCAGGGCACGTGCGTGGGTTGCAGGGTGGGTCCCCAGTGAAGGGTGCATGAGAGGCAACCACACACTGATGTTTCTTTCTCCCTCTCTCCCTCCCTTCCCCTCTGTCTAGAAATAAATAAATAAAATCTTTTTTAAAAATCAGTTTTATTTTTTAGAGAGAGAAGAGGGAGGGAGAGAAACATCATTCAGTTGTCACTTGCACACCCCTGACCGAGGACCTGACCTGCAACACAAGCATGTGCCCTGAACTGGATTTGGACTATTGACCTTAATGTTTGCAGGCCAGCACGCCAATCTACTGAGCCACACCAGCCAGGGCCATACCTATTTTTACAGGTCTGGTGAGATCTCTACTTTGCAACCCACTGTTTACAATTCACATTGCAAGTACATATACTCAGTTGGCGGAGGACGGGGGACTTTCCTCTACCCTTCTAGGCTCTACAGGGTGGTCTAATAATTAAATCGACATAAGGCAGATTAACAAGAGAAAATAGTGAAATTTAATTACCTATGTACATCTGGAAACCCCGCATACATGAGAGGTCCAGAGACAGGAAATGAGGTATATGTGACATTTTGAGTTATGGATGAGGGGAGGCATCTTGGGGGCTTCAGAGCAGAGGACTGCCATTGGAGGACAATAAAAGTAGATACTCAGTAATTAGTAGTTTGCCCTGTCATCTGGGTGGGTCAGAAAGGTTATCTGATAATCTTAGTAGGGACAAGGTCCCTAATTCATCAGTTCCTCTGGGTTGTTTGGGGGCCAAGTTTCTCTTGAGACCACGGGGTCTCAGTTGCCTTTACTCAAAATAATCCACATACCACAGAGACATATCTTGGGCAACTCATTCTGAACCCCTACACAGTAATAAAGTGGATTTCCTTTCAGAATTAGTGACTTAAGGCAATTCAATACTTCATACTTATTCCCTGAACTAGTAATAACAAGAATAGAACTGAACAGCAAATAGGTAAAGCCCCCAAATAATAAACCCTCATTTTCAAATATTGCTTCCTTACATACCTGCCAAGTTCTAGCAGCCTTTTTGATGATATGAAAATGCCTGTGTCATAGTCCTTAGTTCCTAAAAATCCCTTAATTTTAATGATTGATGATCTGCTTACACCAGGGAAACTTGTTTACTCATCTTTTTTGTTATTTAAATAAGATTGTTCATCCAGAAAGCTTTTGTGTGCCTGTAATCTGCTAAATATTGGCACCTCTGAAAAGACAGCAAAAGGTCCCTGCCCCTGAGGAGCATTTCGCCTGGTGGAGAATTTTTGCTGCATTGTTCATAATAGTTTTATACTTTGTCTTTCAGATAACCCGAGCAATGGAGGGATTACAGCATTACATCAACCCAGCACACGCCATTTCTCTCCTGAGCGCTCTCAACGAGGAGCGCCTCAAAGGGCAGTTGTGTGATGTGCTTCTGATTGTTGGAGACCAGAAATTTCGAGCTCATAAAAATGTCTTGGCTGCTAGCAGTGAATACTTTCATAGTTTATTCACAAATAAGGAGAATGAGTCACAAACTGTATTTCAGCTTGACTTTTGTGAACCGGATGCTTTTGATAACGTTTTGAACTACATTTATTCCTCATCCTTGTTTGTTGAGAAAGGCAGCCTTGCTGCTGTGCAAGAACTAGGCTATAGCCTTGGGATCTCCTTTCTGACTAACATCGTCTCTAAAACACCTCAAGCCCCCTTTCCAATGTGTCCCAACAGGAAAAAATTCATAGAGCATGATGAAAACAGTTCTCAAAAGAGAAGTGTCATTGTCTGTCAAAGCAGGAATGAAGCACAAGGAAAAACTGTTAGTCCGAGTCCACCCGATCTAAGCCATACCTCTCGGCCTTCCCCGAGCACTGCAGTCAAGGCCAATACCAGTAAGCCCCATGTCTCCAAACCCATTGAGCCACTTCACAACTTGTCACTGACTGAGAAGAGTTGGCCAAAAGATGGTTCAGTGGGCTACACAAAGCCTCTCGAACGTTCTGGATCCCTGGATGACACCAACAGAAGCAGTCTGGTGAAAAGGAACGCGGCCCTGCCTTCCACACCGCTACAAGACAGGCAGGCAGTGGACGATAAACCAGGTGGGAGCAGTCAGCTTTCCAAGGGGAAGGCTATAGAGCTGGCTCTGAAAAGGCCACGGCCACCTGTTCTGTCTCTTCGAAGCTCGTCAGAGACCCCTTACCTACTGAAAGAAACTAACAGAGGAAGCGGCACAGGCGAGGACAGAAACTTGTTGTACTATTCAAAGTTAGGCTTGGTGATCCCGTCCGGTGGGTCTGCTTCTGCAAACCAAAGCATTGACAGAAGCGGCCCACTTGTTAAGAGTCTCCTGCGGCGGTCACTGTCAATGGATAGCCAGGTTCCTGTCTACTCCCCATCCATAGATTTGAAACCTCCCCAGGGCTCATCTGCAGTGTCCAGTGATGCGCCTGGGACTGTCTTCTGCGCTGCATCTCAAAAGTCATCTTTAAAAGAGGGTGGTGAAAAACCACCTCTGGATGACGAGACTCCACAGCCACACCGTCTCAGGTCCTTCAGTGCTTCTCAGACCACGGAGAGGGAGGGTGTCCCCCCTGTCTCCGAGGTTCGCATCAAGACGGAGCCCTGCAGCCCACTGGCAGATCCCTCCGACATCATTCGGGTCACCGTGGGGGATGCTGCTGCAGTGGCGTCTGGCACGAGAGACCATTCCCTGAAAACAGAAGATGATCAAAAAGACATGAGCAGACTCCCAGCCAAAAGGAGGTTCCAAGCGGACCGCAGACTGCCGCTGAAGAAGTTAAAGGTGGATGAGCATGGCGCTCTGGTGTCAGAAGATAACCTTGAGGAAGGCTCCAGTCCCACTCTCATTGCAGATTTTCCAGATTCTGACTTGAATAAAGATGAATTTGGTGAGTTGGAGGGAACAAGACCAAACAAAAAATTTAAATGCAAACATTGCCTTAAGATCTTTAGATCAACAGCAGGTCTTCACCGGCACATTAACATGTACCACAACCCAGAAAAGCCCTATGCCTGTGACATCTGTCACAAGCGGTTTCACACAAACTTCAAGGTGTGGACCCACTGTCAGACCCAGCACGGCATAGTGAAGAATCCATCACCAGCCTCTAGTTCACATGCCGTTCTGGATGAAAAATTCCAAAGAAAGTTGATTGACATAGTGAGAGAGAGAGAGATTAAGAAGGCCCTGATCATTAAGTTGAGGCGCAGCAAGCCTGGCTTTCAGGGGCAGAGTAGTTCCCCAGCTCAAGTCATCAAGAGGAACTTGAGGTCGCGAGCCAAAGGCGCATACATTTGTACTTACTGTGGAAAGGCCTATCGCTTTCTCTCTCAGTTCAAACAGCACATAAAGATGCACCCAGGAGAGAAGCCCCTTGGAGGACACAAGGTCGCTAAGCCGAAAGCGCTCGCTCTTGACGGTCCGGTAGAGAACAAGGAGGTTTTCCAGTGCCGCCTCTGTAACGCTAAGCTCTCTTCTCTCCTAGAGCAAGGCAGCCACGAGCGACTGTGCCGAAACGCCACCGTGTGCCCCTACTGCAGCCTTAGGTTCTTTTCGCCTGAGCTCAAGCACGAGCACGAGAACAAGTGTGAGTACAAAAAGTTGACGTGCCTGGAGTGCATGCGCACATTCAAGTCCTCCTTCAGCATTTGGCGGCACCAAGTTGAAGTCCACAATCAGAACACCATGTCTCTAGCTGAAAACTTCTCTTTACCCATCCTGGACCACAACGGTGAAGTCACTAGCTCTTCTAGGTCCCAGCCCCAGCCTGAGCCTCAGAAAGCAAACCACGTGGTCACAGCAAAAGATGACAACACATTTAGTGACTGTTCCGAGCAAGTCAACTTTGATTCAGAAGATTCCTCCTGTCTCCCAGAAGACCTTAGCCTTTCGAAGCCACTGAAGATCCAAGTCAAAGAGGAGCCTTTGGAGGAAGCTGAGGAGGTGGCGCCCGAGGCCAGCGCAGCTCCCAAAGAGGCAGCTCCGAGCAAGGACTCCGGCCTGTGGCCCTGCGAGAAGTGCGGCAAGACGTTCACAGCACACAAGCAGCTGGAGCGGCACCAGGAGCTCTTGTGTTCTGTGAAACCGTTCATCTGTCATGTTTGCAACAAAGCTTTTCGTACCAATTTCCGGCTCTGGAGTCACTTCCAGTCCCATATGTCTCCAGCTACAGAGAACTCAGCACATAAAGAATCTGAAGTGGGCCCTGTTCCCACAAACTCTCCGTCGCCGCCACCGCTGCCCCCGCCGCCACCGCTGCCCAAGATCCAGCCCCTAGAGCCTGACAGCCCAACGGGTCTGTCTGAAAACGCGGCTCCCGCCACGGAGAAACTGTTTGTGCCCCAAGAATCAGACACACTTTTCTACCACGCCCCGCCCCTTTCAGCAATTACATTTAAAAGACAGTTTATGTGTAAACTTTGCCATAGGACATTCAAAACTGCATTCAGTCTTTGGAGCCATGAACAAACCCACAATTAAAAGACCTACCCTTTCACCTGTAACAAGATGGGGGAGGTCTCCGACTTGCGGTCTACATGGTGAAGTGTGTCATATAAGAAGGAAAATATTTTTTACAAAAGAATAATAAAGGTTGGAAATTGTTATGTTGGAATATAAGTTTGAGGTAAACTGATGTTAATTAGTAATGTCTTTACCCAAAACTTTACTCCTTTACCTAGGAAAACTAAAAAATACAGTGCTTCTGACCTTACAGTCACAGGACATTTTTACTTCATTAATGTTGAAATTTGATTGCTTTTGGTTGTTTGCATGTTTCCTCATTCCAGTGTCAGTATAATCTTTTACTGAAGGTGGTTTTGTTTTTTCACTGATTTGCAGCTAGTAAAATACTATTAAAAGATTTCTGTTTTGATTATATCAGACATCTAAGTTTTAGTTAAGTCTTAGCCATGCTCTTAAGTCCAAAACTTATCAGGAACAAATGGAGTAGTTTGCAGCATTAATTTAGATCTTTAGAATACTCTAGCAATAAAAAAAATTATCAACCTCAACTTTAATAAGTTATCCTGACACTTGATAAAATATTTGGCATTTTGAGGTTACGTACAACTTTTTTGTGTGAAATTTGTGAGAAACTTAAATCAGCAATAGTAATACTTAGATTTCTCTAAAATAAAAACTTGGGTCACTTAATATAATTATTGATAGAAGATGGGAAGTGAAAATGTTAAGATTTTTGGAGGGCCCCTAGAGTCCATTTATGGGGAGCTTCAGTAGCGATGGGCATTGTGTCCAAACTGCTGCATCGTGCTGTGTGCGCATCGCAGTTTCAAGTTCAGTCCAGCGTCGGACGGACTGAATGTTGGGTCTCCTCTGGTTTACGGTGCCACAAATTGAGAATCAGCATCTGGGACAAAGATAACACGGCACTAATTTTGAAATTAACAACATTAGTATAACAAATAAGGTCAGGACCTATATGTACAGAGTCAGTGTAGCTGCCCTGAATCCCGTGTTACCATTCACTTCCAGAGACTTGAAGCAGAGGGAGAAATCCCACACTGCAGTCTCATGTGCTTTTTGAAAACAATATTTACAATACACAGTTTCCTACCTCTCTTTCTCGTGAGAAGTTCTGTTAGAATGTGTTGGCGTTTACTGTGGTAAAACCTGTAGTGGAGTCACCCTGCTTTCCGTCCCTGCTCAGCGTTCCATAAACAGGTGTGAGAGCACAGTCCAGGGTCCACGGCTGCTTCTCTTTTTTTGGCCCAGAGGGTTTGGGCTTTTTTTTCTACTTTGCATTTGAAATTAAATTGTAATTGAAAGCCTTTCAGTAGGTGTTATCCAAAGTTCTAGGAGCTGTTTCAAAAGGTAAAATTTTTATTTCACTTGTGGGGGGTAGTTATATAAAAGTAGAAAAATTGAAATTACAAATGCCTTTTAAGGTAGTGATATGGGTTAAGACTCCCAAGTTTACTTTTTTTTTTACAAACTTTTTTCTCCAAAAAGTCAACTACTGTGACTAAGAAATAGCTACCTGAGCACTTAAACTGTGTGCTCCAGCAGAACAGAACTGTCCCCGTCTCGGTACCCACATTCCATACCATTGCTGAGAAAGACACACTTATTTTTTACTTGAAATACAAGTGTTTTTATAAAATACTGATTTTGTACATTATAGAAATTACATTGGAAATTTTCCCTCTTATTCTTTCATTTGAAAACTTAAAAGTCCCCAAATATTTGTGGTTACTTCCTATTTCCGTTCTTACCTAAATTTGATGGAGAAAATAAAGTTACAGTGAGTGATTATTACCATCTTTATATTTTGTTGAAGAAATATGTGCATTTTGAAGACGACTAAACATATGATTTTATGTCAAACATTAGGGTGGATTACTGTCCATTGAGTTCATTCCCTATGTCATTTGGTATTTCTTACTGACACCTTGGTGGCTGTTCACTTCAGAAGTTCCCCTCAGAGTAATCATTACTACGACTGTTCAAGTATCCGTGATAATTCCATGGTAGCAGTGTCTTGGCATTGTAAATTTAGTATCCCAGGACTTGAACCTTTATTCTACTTTTTTGAGGTTTTTAAATAAAGTTAATTAGCAACAAATATTTTTGAACTAAATATAGGCTCTGCAAATATGTTAGATTTCAGAAGTTACCAGTGGTTTGTCTTGTTAGTTCACTTTTTTGTCTAGGCAAGGAACATAAGATTTCAAATAAAATTTTGAACCAAAAACATTTATAATGCAGTTCTGGTTTTTCTATTACTTTTTATACTGTACCTTAAAAGCATTAGGCTGAGAGTTTATTTTGGTGGTTGAAAAATAAAATATGCTTCCATTTGTGTAACTATTTTAAATGTGAAGAAGTGAAATAATGAAAGAAGTTAATTGCTTTATTCAGCAAACAGATTTTTAAAAACTTTATCTCAGACAAATACTTGGTGTAAGACAACTTGGTCTTTCATTGCAACTCTTTAGCTAGCAAATATATTCTTGAAAAAGTTTTTTCTGATTGCAATTTTCGAAAGTGTAGAAAATTCACTATTCCTTGTAAGTATTCAGGATGCCTGCTTTTTTACACAGTCATGGAAAGAATGTAAGATGTTTTAATATATTCTTTGTTAATCTGAGAACTTGTTATTGAATCATTTTCTTCACGTTGGGGAGGGAGGGAGGAAGGAACACCATAAAACACGTTATTTTAAGCAATGGAGGTAACAAGTGGTGCACATTTTTTTATAGTATCTCAAGATTAACAGAATATTTACCTTTAAAACTGGTAGGGTTAGTACGCATTTATAATTTTACCAAATTACGCAACTAACACTTCAACAGTGAGGTCATGTGCATTTGTGGGAAGATTACGTTCCTGGTTTTCTGCTCTATTACGGTTCGTAATAGCCTTCTCTTTAAAGATAGGCCCCCCGCACATGACTGGGGGTGCTGTAATCCACACGCAGCACCCACTGGTGCTGAGAACAGCAGTAAGAACACAGCATGCCCTCTCACGGAGGCACGGGGTGTTCTCATCTACAAGCCCACAGGATAGTGCGTGAGGCAGGAAATTCATCTAAAGTCGGCCTTTGTTCCCTCCGATGTGTGTGTGCACCTGTGCCACTGTGATCTGGAACTCTAGGAAATAAAGTTATTTGAGTTTTCTTACTACAGAATAATTAGATGTCATTCACAACAAGTTTCTCTATAAATTGCACTAATACCGGAATATTACAAGTCATTTTCATCAGTTTCTGATATCTCAAATGTTTTTGCAATAATTGTAAAAAACATTGTTTTAAATAATACACATTCTTTAATAAGCTCTTTAACACTGGTCTTTTTAAGTTTTAAAGATAGGTTTTTCTCTTGTGGCTTTAGCACTTTAAGAAGTTTGAGGTTTGCCTACTTTTTAGTTTGTTCAGTGTTTCTCGGTGTCCCTGGCTTTGGCACTTTTCCAGGCGGCCAGGAGGAAACTGAGCAGTGAGTTAATGTCAGGCTTTTAAAAAATGCCTTTTAGAGACAGTCATTTGGGAACCAAAGTATTTTAGTGTAAATCTGTAAAATAATTGAATTCAGTGCTTTTGGTCATTTATTAGTGTTGTCCGGATTTTCCACAGTTACACTTGGTTGATACTGATTTCCAAAAAGTGATAATTTCTTAATTGAGATTAACTCAAGACTGTTTCAAAACTTTCTTTAAATGTTTATTGATAAAAAGGAAAAAATGTGGTTTTATAATTGTGTATATTTTGTTGTTATCTCTTTAGCAGAATAAATCATTTGGTTTTATTTAGAAATAAGCTTTTTTTGGACTGAAGACTCATAGTCAGATAGGATTTCTGTGGAATGTTAATCCATTGCTTATTTGTATCCAGTTCTGTTGTCTGTTTACTTTGCTTAAATCTTGACTAAAAATGATGGGAGTCAATAAATTTGTACTGTATTTTGTTTTGAGTCTCCGTCTGATTGTAATGTTTTACACTTTGATAATAACTAATAGCATTATGAAATCTGCCAATAACACTTTGGAATTTATGAATGTGAAGGTAAAACCTATTTGGCTAGTAGGTTAGCCGACATCTATTTGACTAATAGGAATAGCCACGCACAAGCATTAGAAATGTAATTTTCCCCAACACGACCAGGGTGCTCATAGAATTGTTTGCACCCTGGCTTCATTGATGTGTGTACCACAAATATGACTAAAACCGCATAAGCGGCACTGCCTATCCACTTTTTTCTTTACTGTTCAAATTAGTATTTTTTTTAAATGATGGTGGGGTAAATGCGTAGTTTTTAAGCACCCTACATTGACATTTCAGCATAGCAAATTGATGAACTGATTTTCCTTCATAATTTCAAGGCTTCGTGTTGCAGCATCTTTCTTCCTTCTCAGGGGCTCTTCCGTAACCCCAGCACACGTTGACTTGGGTACCGTGGACCAGCCTGCCCTGTGAGGTGAGGCACGGAGCAGTAGAATGCAGATCGCCACCAGGACGGTCATTCTGATTCCTACCCCTGGGTTTGCACGTGCCTCTTCAGATGAGTGTCTGCCCGACACCCTAAACTAGTCTTTCTGGGGACCCCCTGGCTGAAAGTTTCTTGGAAACACTGCACCGGGGATAAATGGCAAAATCTTTATTGGAATCTCTTTTAGCCCTTCTATTCAATTTGCCACCAAATAATTTTGTTCTGAAAGTGTACATCTGCCCTTTCTTCTGCATAACAAGCTTTGCCAGGTTCAGGATTGTTGTGTTCCTGGTTCATCCTCTTTGGTGTAACACAAACGCACAAGACTCTGTTCGGGGTGTGATATTTTTACCGGCGAGAGAGGCTGCCTCGGCCCCATTGACGTAGCTCTAGGAGTTCAGTGGCAGGTATTCTCTATACAGAGCTGCTGTCTGGGGGAAAATGTTCTCCCAGTTGTCATAAAAGTACTTAGAAAGTAAAGGACAGCTGCGGCCCTGCTGTGCCTGCATTCGGGTGTCATGCTCAGCCTCGGTCCCGTCCTCGACAGTGCGGTCCTCTGGTTGGTTAGTCAACCTCCCGATAATGCAAACCTGCGTTTTGCCCAGCTGAGCGTCTTAACATGGTGGCACCTTTCTTCTAGGAAGCACTTCCCGACACCCACCTGCCCACTCCTCACCCCAGCCCGGAGCAACGGCCCCACTCGTGCGTTCCCAGAAATCCCAGGCACAGCCGGGTCACTGCTTTACCGATGTGTGGCCTAAACAAGAACGAATGGGCCCAGGGGCAGGGGCTGGTACTCAGCTTTGGGAACTCCTTTCTCCAAGGAATCGGGTTCCTTTCAGTGCAACGTTTAATCTAGAGCTAGTATTGCTCCATTACTGAGGCAAAAAACAATTCTTCCAGCCACGTCCCATAAATTATTTCCAGCACTGTGTGAGCTCGGGGATTGTTCATTCTAAATGCTTGCAGGCGGTCCTTTTCCTGGCCTCGGGAAGATTCCTCTCGTGCATGTGCTGATGGGTCCTCTGCTGGAGAGTCCAGGGGCCGCTCTTGGAGCAGCAGCCTCCCCCTCTCGGCCGTCCAGCTTGGCTCCTTGGTCGGGGACACCGCTAGTCTGCCTCCTTCCTTCCTTGTCTCTCAGCGCTCACTGTTCTTTGTTGTTTGATGTTCAGTGACTTGAAAATCATTCTCTCATGTATTTTTGCCTGACATTTAGCAGTTTCCTGCAAGATAGTAATCCAGCCCTTATGACTCTGTCTTGGTCAGGAGTGGAACTGAAACTTACTTTATTACCGACAGGTTAGCTAACATGTCCTAAGCATTGAGCACTGGATGTCTGTGGATGTTAAACACACACACACACACACACACACACAAACTGGCCCGTGGAAAAATTCCCCAATTCCAAGCATGGCAGGAGCCCTTAGAGATTTTCTCAAACAGGACCAAAAAATCACATATGCATCTCACTAAATCCAAATGAAATGTATCCCCTCCTCTACACACCTGCAGTCAAGTCTAAAAAAGGCTACATTCCCCTCAATGCCAACCACCGTGAAAGAAATAATGGCGGAGGGGGTGTTATCGTGGAAAGAGTCAGATCCGTCTCTCTGTTCAGCTTACGTTTGGTCGAGTTTGCATCGAATTCGCCCCAGTAAGAGATCCCTGACTCAGAGGTGGCCCGCACCCGGGAGGGCCCTGGGGCCTGAGCTCCGTCAGCTTCACTGTAAACTGACCTCTGTCTGCTTCGCCCATTTATGGTGGAAAGCCTTGGCCACACCCTGTCATTAGCCTTTACTTCGTCCTGGTCTTCAGGCCACCGGGGCAGCAGGGACGGGCTCTGAAGGACAGGCTGAGTGGCCTCTGACTTGCTGGCCAGAGGGGGAGCCATGGTTGTTGATTCTCGATGTTCTGGGCGACAGAGGGCATGTAGTCAAAAATGCAGACACACTAGACCTATTTCTCTCTCGCACGTGATAAAGATGTTGGGAAATCAGGAAGAGACCTCGTTTTATACTAGAAACAGGAGTCTGGTGCACAAGGAAGCAGAGGTTCGCTTCTGAGGGTCTGAGTGATGAAAAGGAGGTTTTCGCAGGCATTAAAGTTGGGGTCTCAGGTTGAGTTCGTAGAGCCTATTAAGACCAGCTCTGTTCACAAAATCGAAGATCGATGACAGATGATCAGACAGAGTGTGATGTTTGATGTTATTTTTGTTTGATTTCTCAGGGAAAAAAAGAACCACAAGGTGGAAAAATACTCTACTGGCCCTTTCATTAAAAATAAAATAATTTAGCCCAGGCCAGTTTGCTCAGTTGGTTGGAGCATCATCCTGTGCACCAAAAGGTTATAGGTTCGATCCCCAGTCAGAGCACACACCTAGGTGCCAGTCTGATCTCCATTCAGCATGTGCAGGGGAGGCAGCCCACTGACATTTCTTTCTCATGCCTGCCTTCCTTCCTTCCTTCCTCTCTCCCCCCTCCCTCTCTCGCTAAACTCAATAAAAACATATCCTTGGGTGAGAATTAAAATAAAAAATGTTACACCAAGTGCTGTTGGGTCTCCTTGAAGGGCTGGCCTCTGCTTCTAGCCCCTCATATCCCTGTTTGAGAAACATCTGGGGCACGTTTCCTGAGGGTTGTTTGTTTTGTTGCCCTAAGGAAAGCTTTACACAGTTCAGGGGCTGAAGCTCTTTCCCTGGAAACCCGAGCTGATCGGTCCCAAAGGTGACAGTGAGTGCCAGAGCCGAGGAGCAGCCTCACGTGTGCACAGTGGGGGGGGGGGGTCTGTTCGCTGGAGCAGCCGTGTTTTTAATGCCACTGCTAGGACGCGGCACTGAACGTGTTCCGTTACTGGTAAGTGGTGTTTTTTAAAATGCGCGAGAGGCAGGGCCATGTTGTAATTCTTGTGGGCCCTAGAGCTTCGGGAGGAATTTTCTTCCACAAAAATATATACATTCATTCTATTTTACAACTGCATTGACCTAAAGAAAAATATAACCCCGGCTGAATTAAAAATTAGAACATTTTCTTTGACCCTAAAAGCACAGTTTCTTCTTTCTGGTTTTTAAAGAAATTAAATACTCTTGTGGTCCCCCCAAGAAAAACATTTTTGTGGTTCCCTGAAAAAACCATAGGCCCCAAACACGGTGTTTAGTGGATAAGTCGGCCCCGATTAAAGGAAGACATGAGGCAGGCAGCCGTGCACGCCAGCCAGGAGAAACATACCCCGGACAGAGAGAGGGGAGGTGGGCTCCGAACCTCTGCTGGGCCAGCTATTCAGTGGGTGGCAACCTCCCAACCCGTAGGTGTGTTTTTTAGCCTGATGGCTGCAGTTAGGAATTCTAGTGGGGTTTTTGAAAATTCTTTAAAAATGAATAGGGAGTACTTCCATTTCTGACACATGATGAGTTAGTTGCTCCAAGATTTCCTACATTGGGAGCACTTGGATTCTGAATAAGACACCTTTTCTGATGAATGAATTACCAGAGCGGTAAGAAGGACGGGGATTTTCTGACCACCCCCACCCCCCACCACTGCCCACCCCAAGAAGCTAACGAACTCTGAGCAAGCGCAGGGACAGCTGGGTTGCCTGAGGGCAGAGCTGTGGGACAGCACTGAGAACACAAGAGCCTCGGGCCAGTGACAACACTGAGCTGGCCCTCTGCGGGGCCGGGGCTGACACTGTGTGCAGAAGAGTGTCACCACAACCAGACTGCTCTCCTAGAAAGTCTGCAAGGTCGGCCGCCAGCTCGCGTCCGGGAGCCTGGACGTGCGGAGGGTCCTCACTGTTCCCTGGTGAGAGGGGCTCGCTGTGCTTACGCTGTGGGTACAGGCCACACGGTGTATGCTGAACACTTGCTGCCCTGAAGGTCCAGGCGGAGGCGCCTACTGGCTGCTTCGTGGCCAAGGTCACACTTGTTTCCAGCCCAACATGTGTGGTGGCATCGTGTGGGCCGGTGGCTCTCAAACCTGGCTGGACATTAAAATCGTCCCGGGAACTGTTCAGAAACACAGGTGTCACGTTCACAATAGAGCCAGACCGGAAGCAACCGGAGGCCCATGGGCAGCCGAAGGGTAGAGGTGGCGTGTCCACACCAGGGACTTCTGTCCACTGGTGGGGCTGGATCAACCACAGCACACCCAGCACCGCGGGAGCGCACAGCGGCCAACGACAGACCCACACACGGAGGAGGACAGACCGTCTGACTGGCTTGCAGCGAGAACAAGGCAGGCCAAACCCGGCTGTGAGAAGTCGGTATCTGGTTACCTCTGGAGGGGTGAGGGGGGGTGACAGGAGGGGAGTCTGCAGGGTCCTGGGTGCCGATCATGCTTTGATCCCTGGTCTGGGTTACAGGGGGAAAGCCCGGGGAGCTGACCTCGATGCGCGCACTGTTCCTTGCCTTGCGTGTATTAAACTTCAGCAGACATCCGAAAGTAAACATGAAGTACACAACACCGGGGCCCACTGCGGCCCACTCGGAAGAC